CCGCAACGCTTTATGGGAGTAGAGAGCCTCCTCTTTCTCCAGTGGAGCAGCTGCTGGTTTCCAACTGCTGACCCTGCAGTTAACAGGGCTCCTTCCTTTCAGAAGTAAGTAGGAGTTTAATTGAGTAGCTGCTTAGTTGGAGCTAAGGGCTATAAAATAGCTTTCCAGCTGTAGGCCGGCGCAGATGAACTGACTGTTCTGTGGTCCTTGCCGTGTTGTGTTGTTGAACAATCAGGACCCAGGAAGAAAGTTTCGTGTTCTGTAAGCAGTGCCCACAGTTGGCTCGGAAGCCCAGTGTGGGTACGTTGGAGCCACGTGGAGCGGCTGCCTCCTCGGTGGGAAGCTGGTGACAAGAAAGGCAATGGGAAGAGCGGTGAGGAGATGAAAGCCACAAGCCTTCAGAAAGCAAGGATGGGATGAAACCGGCTAAAGTGGGGCAATAAGAGATCCTGACCCCCAAAGGGAGAGGGTTCCATTCCATAGAAAACGAGAAACGTTTTGACCACAGGAGAGAGTAAAGTGGATGCCCCCCCCTCCCCCCAGAAGGAGGAATGACCACTGTCTACCCTGGAAGGACAGCCTGGAATCCAGCGCCGGGCCACTGAAGGGGACACTCTTCAGTGTGGTTCTCAATGTCCAGGCTTGATCTTACCTGAAGACCCAGTGTCACCAGGCAGGGGTGACTTCCAAGTGGAACCCCTAACACCTAGGGTTGGGTGGAAGAGTGAAAATGGGTCTTGATCGGGAAAGTTCTGGAAACCTCCCCTTGCTTAAGGCCTTGAGCTGTGTCCTAGAGTTCCCCCACCCCCACCCCCGCCGCCCCATCCTCATCCTTATCCCCTACCACCATCACCTAAAGCTCCAAGTGAGTTCTAAGAGTCGGACGCAGGAGGCAGCCTCTTACCAAGCAGGCCGAACAGCAAGTGCTTTGTCTGAGGATGAACATCTGAGCACATGCATGCAGAGGCGGCCACAGGAAAAGGAAGCCTTAAAGGACCTGGTGGGAGTGTGCTTCCCTGCGTGCCTGTGTGCGTGCACATGGGCACGACATCACTGCACCCTACACCGCCTTCATGTAAGTGCAGACCATGCCTTCAGTAACCCAGCTGTACTGCTCGCCTCCCTCCTCTAGCCGCCAGCCAGCAACACACAGCCCCCATTCTTGCTGCTCAGGAACGTGCTTTCAGCAACTTAATCTAACTGCTGAGTGCGGGCCAAATCCCCCAGTGGCATCAGCCCAAAGACAGCACCGCTTCTCCGGGGCTGTCTCTCCCCTGCCTTCCCACCTTCCCACCACCGGCTGTTGCCTGCAGGTCTGGAGGCTGCATTTCAACTCCCCCAAATGGCTCCCTCTTCTCCAGACTCAGCCCCGTGAGCATGCCAGTGCTCTCCACCCCTCCTTCCCTCTCTCCAGTACTTCCCTGTCCTTCCTGTCCGGCCCAAAGGTTTCACTGCTGATTCTGATTCTCAATGACGCCGCCAATAGTATTTGGCTTTCCCCAACAAGCCCAGCCCGGACTTTCCTGCACAAGCCCTCTCTCGCCCTGTGTCTCCCTGGGCAGCGACCAACCCCTCTGTCCTCACTGCCAACTGCCGAGCTCTTTAAGCACCAGAGAAAGCAGTGGCCAGGGAATTGCTTTGTTCAAGGAACACGATGTGCCTTGCAGCTGAACCTGGCCTCCGAAATCCATCTCTTACTTTCCCCAAAGCCCCAGCCCGACTCCTGATTAGGCCAAATGAATGGTTATGAGTTTCTTGAAAGGAGTCTCTACAGACACACCATGGTGCTGACCATTTGCAGATAAAACCTGCTGCCAACACCCACCTCCCCAACTCCCCCCTCTATAAGCAGTATTTCCTTTTGAAGGCACAAATGGTGCTCAGGGTTCAGGACAGCATGTGTGATAACAAACACTTAGACGTGACCCCGGATGTGGATAAGGGTCGGCGCATGATGGTAGACCCTAGAGGGTGTGCTAGGGCTATTCCTAATCATGAAGGACATAAGAGAACCTGCTGGAGTGACGGTCACAGGCGATAAAAGCCCAAACCCATGGCGGTGGAGTCGATGCTGAGTCCGGAGGACCTGATGGGCAGGCCAGAACTGCTCCGCAGGGCCCCCGAGGCTGTCCTTTTACAGAAGCAGCACCCCCTCTCCCTCCAGAGGAGTAGCCGGTGGGTCGGGGCCAAGACGGTTCTCAGCTGAGTGCTTGACCATCGGGCCACCAGGGCATGCACCTGGTGGTCCTCTGAAGACCAGCGTCCTTGGTGAACTTGACCACGTGTGCCATGCATCTTACACTCAGAGTTTGAAAAAGTAATTTGTGATGCCAGAGGTCATGAGCAACGCTGGCCACCATGTCCGGGGAAGAAACAAAACAAAACAAACAAACAAACAAACAAACCTGAGCATTCGGGCGTTATCAGGACCACAGAGGAAACACACGGATGGAGATGGGAGAGGTAAGATGGCAAGGCAATCGTGGTATTGTGTGAGGAGGGCAGGCTTGCGGAGACAGCATTGTCTGCATATGCCAAACTTCCTGCAGCGTCATTACAATCTCAAAAAGTAACCCAGGAGCATGGTGGAAGGAAGGGAGACCTGGTGGCGCTGCGGACTAAACACGTGGCTGCCAACCACAAGGTGGTCGGAAGGGCAAACCTCTCAGCTCTCAGGCGGCCCGGCAGTGGCAAAGCCCTGTGAGTCGGGCATGGGTTTGGCTTGCTGGTTTAGGGATGGCAGGAAGTGGAGCCCAACCTCAGCTCCTGCTGTGGTGATACAATCCCTCTTCCCTCCAGTCTCCTGCCACCCCCCAGCACCCCTTGCTGACAAGCACCCTCACTGAGCCAAGTGCTCTCTGGATCCCCAGCACTTAGTGGGTGCTCCAAGATGCAGCCCCATGACGGTCAGCCAGGCACCCAGGGGGCAACTGCTGGGGCTGCACCCTGCCTTCCTCCCTGTGGTATTTCCCAAGGGCAGGACAATGGTGCCCACAGTTGTCTCCCTTTTCCCCTGAAGCCCCCACAGGGCAGCCAGGGCCTTTCCTCCTCTCCCATCTCTCTCAGTACTTCCCTCCCAGCACTTAGGCCTCTCACACCTGGCTCAATGACTGTGACAGAGGGGCATTTGGGGCATTTACTGCTTTCGGTATGACCCATAACATAGGACCCATCCCCACCCCCGCCCCCCAACAACAGACTGGTAGTTGCACAATCTGTTGTCAACTTGAGACTTAAGAGTACAGGGGTAGAATTTAGCCTGCCAATCAGGTCGCAGTTTGATGACCTCATTTGGAGGAGCTAAGGAGATAAATAGCTCACTGGAGGCGGGTCACACACTCCCTGGGAGATATTGCAGCTGACAAGACCCATGGAGCTACTCTAGAGCCCTGGAGCTGAAGGAGCCACGTGGAGACCCCTGCCAGCGCTGAGCTGCTTCCACCACCACTGGATCCACAAAACTTTCCACCCACTGGCCTGTGATCTTCCTGCGTTTGGCCTCTTTGCATGTGTTGCATGAGTATGAAGAGGAATTTACAGATTGGTATCAGACATATGGGCTAATATCGGACTTATGGACTTGATCTAGGCTGGACTGGGATATTTTCTCAATATTCAATTGCCGTTGTATATAAAGCTCTTTCTTATACACATGAGTGTCTATGAATGTGTTTCTCTACTCTATCCAGACACACACGCCATCCCAGAGAAGCGGGATGATACGGGGCATGGAAGCCCCAAGCAGGCCTGGTGGGGACAGGGGTCCCTGCCTCGTCACAAGGGGACAAACTCTGGACATCATTTTCAAGTTTAAATTCAAAAGCCACTGGACAGCTTTCCTTTCCTATTCCCTACAGCCCAGGTTCCAGGACAAGAGGCCAAGTTGGGGACAATCCTTCCTATTTCCTGGCTCTCCGCTCAGCCTCTGAGAAAGACTCCTCTGTGGCTCTCCCTGGTTTCTTTAACTGATGAGGTCTCGTGTCCCTGTGCGCACGAGGGGCAGAGAACCAAGGCTTGTTGGTACTCGGCCTGCACAATGGACACTCAGGTGGTAACTGTGACCGCATGGAATCTTCTGCAGGAACCCTGTCTTCGACCCGTCGGTCACTGAGCTCTTTCCTCCTCAGCCTTTGTCACACAGCTTCCTGGTCACCACGTTCTGTGTAGGTCATTACATAGCAGACCCACTGCCTCAAGTTGGTTTCAAATCAGAGCAACTTGATAGGAAGGATTCAGATGACTCGCTAGTGTTCCCAAGGTTGTAAATCCTTAGGGGAGCAGAGAGCCTTCAACTAGCTCCCTCCACGGGGCTGGTTTGAGCCCCACATCTCGTGGTTTGCCTCGTGTGCAACCCCCGAGGCCACAGGCTTTTGAAACAGGTTGCCCCTCATAGAAAGATCACTGCATCAGACCCACTGCCACTGAGTCCACCCCAACGCACAGAGCCTCTCTTGGGCTTCTGCTGCGGCTCTCAGCTTCCCCTGACGGTGGGTTTGAACCGCCCCGCTTTCAGTTAGCCAGCCCAGGCTTCAACCCACAGAGTGCCAGGCAGCCACATGTGGGATGGGGGGGCTCTCTCTGCCCGGGCAACACAGCCTCTGCCAGGGGGTGGGGAGGACATGTGAGTGGGGTGGCGGGGGAGGGGCGAGCCGTTTGCCCAATGGAGTCTAAGCCCCAAGGCCCAGCTCGGGGTCCCCACAGCCGTAGTTCAACCATGTCAAGCAAGCTGGCAGTTTCTCTCTCTGTGCGGGGATTCCAAGTATTGCCCGGGTTTGGAGTGAAGAGATCCCCCCCACCCACCCCCGCCATGATTAGTGATTAGATCTTTAGATCTTCTGGGGATTGTTGGGCACTCACTGCTCTGATTTCAAATCTGAGCCATCACAACACCCTCCTCTTACTAACTCATGGTGGGGGCGGGGCACGAATGGTAGGGCAGCAAGAGGGGCAGCGAGGAAGCAAGGTCGCATGCGCTGCACAGGCGGAGGGGAGAGACTCACTGGCTAGTGTCACCGTGGCCGGCACGCTGGCCACGGCCCCTGCAGGCATCCGGGCCACGCACTGGTACCGTCCCACGGTGCGGTTGCTGAGGGCAGGGATGACCAGGCGCCCTCGGGTGATGAGGACCCCCAGTGCGTCGGCCGAGCCGTTCAGCTCCTGCCCGTTCAGGCGCCAGGTGATGTCCATCCACGGGGGCTCCACCGCACAGCCCAGGAGCACCGGCCCGCCCAGCTTCTGCACGGCAGAGGCCGGCTGCACAGTGACCTGGGGGACCTCACCTGGAGGGGGAAGAGATGCAGCCATGAACTGGCGCCCCCAGGAAACCAGCACCCCCCAGGCAGGGCCGAGGACCCGGGCGAGCTGGTCATTCTCTCAGTGCCTCCCTCTGAGCTCAGAGGAAGAGCTTCGTGGGCTGTCGGGTCTAAGCCCCGGTGCCACTAGTCTGAGCGGCGTGCCTTTCGCCTCTCTGAGTCCCAGTGTCTTACCATAAAATGGGGCGGGCGCCCGACGCTTGCCTCACAGGGTCCTGTGTGTGTGAATCACCGGCATGGGAACTGCCCACCATTCTCTCACTGAAGAAGCTTCAGCAAAGGGCAAGCTACCTGTGTTACCTTTACACACACACACACACACACACACCACTTCACATGGGAACTGCCCACTATTATCTCACTGAAGAAGCTTCAGCAAAGAGCAGGCTACCTGTATTACCTTTACACACACACACACACACACACACACACACCCTTTCACTGGCATATCTCTGACATGGGTAAAACGCCATGCGGTGGTGATCATTTCTCATCTTGTATTCTTGAGCATGTCCCCGGAGGCCAGGGGGAGGGAACAGCTCTTTGGAATCCAGGAAGAGGAAAGGCCTTTTTAAAGAGATATTGTAGAATGCGAATGCTTCCATTTTACATTAGGGGCAAAGCGTTCTTCCAAGAGGAACCGGCTAAGAAAAGGGGAGGGAAGGACTCACTCAAGTCTGCAAAGCAGCCCGCCGCTGCGGCGAGGAAGAGACAGGCGAGCATGACCTCGGGCCTCCTTCCTCTCAGGATCATCCCACGCAGCATGGTGTACCACAGAGGGCCCACAGCCAACGTCCCATAAGCCACCACAGGTCACTCAAAGAGACACCGTTGGCCTGTGCAATCCTGCAGAGAGGGAGAGAGAGACGGTCATGGGGAGGACGTGAGGATACCTGGGATGCCCCTGCAGCAGCTGCATGGACCGGCTTTGTCTCCCACCCCAGCTTCCATTGCACGTGCTGGCACTGGGCCCACGTGCAGACTTGGTACAGCGGCCGGAAGGACACGCTCATGCCACTTCTCATCCAAGAGAGGCTTTTTAGGAGCTGCCTGTTGTATTTACAGAGAACATAGCATGTGTTCCCAGTAATGAAGGAGATTCTTGGCCCCTGCCCCTTCCCTAGGCCCCTGCGCGGTGCGAAGGGCCACCCAAAGGTTCCCGTCCACCATCAGAAGAAAGATGCGGCAATCTACTTAAGGAAAAACCATTGTCAACCCCGTGGAGAACAGCTCTCCTCGGATCCCCACGAGTCCGAATCAAGGGCCACCGGTTCGGTTCCTTCCCTGCCCAAAGGAAAGGGAGAGGGAGAGTGGAAAATGAATCCAAAGCAATGAAAGGCAACGAGAGGACCGGAGGACAAAGCAGGAAGGGAGAGCGGTTTCCTATCTGAGCAGAGAGGCCACAGAAGTGTTTGGGCTGTAAAGTCGCCAAAGGTTTTCCTGAGGAAATTCAGGCCAGACCCCCTCCTGCTTTAATGAGGCCCAGCCGGACAATCTCAGTTACTTCTACACCCTCGGTGATTTACAAAGTTCCAAATGGAAACAGATCCCCCTAGCTCAGCCAGCCACCACCCAGCTTTTAAAAGTATCCAAGGAGAAAGCAAAGCAGGTATCCGAGGAGGAAGAAGGGAGTTAACTCATTCATCCCCCAAACTGCCTTGCAGGCAGGTACCATAAAAAAACGGGGTGGTGATTGGTGAGATTGGTGTATCTAATTCAAGGATCTCTGGTGTACCAGTTAGGCTGCTTACCTAAAGGTCAGCAGTTTGAAACCACCAGCCGCTCCTCAGGAGAAAGACAATACTTTCTACTCCCTACAGAGTTACACTCTGAGATACTAATAAGGACCGTTCTACTCTGTCCTAGGGGTGCTATTAATCGGAACTTATTTGATGGCAGTGAAGTTTTGGTTTGAGGTCTAATTCACAAAGCAGCACTATGATTTTAAAAATGCAAGAATGAGGGCTTGTTGGTCACTTCGAGAGGGGTAGTGGGCTATGTGTTGCTAACCACAAGGTTGGCAGTTCAAAAACCACCAGCGGCTTCATGGGTGAAAGGGGAGCTTTCTACTCCCAATAAGAGTTATAGGCTCAGAAATCCACAGGGTCAGTTCTACCCTGCCCTCCAGGGTCACTCTGAGTCGAAATCCACTGGCTGGCAGTGAGTTGAGTTTTTAGTTTGGGTGGTCCCTCTAAGTGTGATGGGTCTAAATGGCAGCTGGGAAAACTGAGTCACCTGAGCAAGTTACCTTAGGAGTTGGGTTTGAAGAGACAATGATTCCAAGAGAGCAGGTGTCTGAGAAGTTCCCTTTAAGGTTCTTAAAGAGGGGCTTACATTGAAGTATTTAATCGCATTGTAACTTTGTCCTATTGTGCAACGAACAAGGTGCAATTTGAAAGTTGGGCGAAGGCAACAGTAAGGCCTGCTGTTTTTCTTGGCAGTGCGAAGCATGTCCTCTATTTTGATGGGAAAGGAGACCCTGTTTTCTACGCATTTTCTCCGAGGAGCGATCAAAGGGGGGTGGCGACGAGAAAGGCATTAAAACACCGGAGAGAAGGGAAAATGAATTCTTGAAACGAATCCCTCATTGCGGCCGAGGTACTTGGCATCTTGAAGGGTTATTTGAACAGGAGAAAAAAAGACAATGTGTCGGAGAGGCTTAACTGCTGACACGCATGTTTCCCACTAAAACAATCTCCAAGCAGACGTCTTTGAAACGTTCCAGAAACAACAACAACAAAACACACTTCTGGGAGTGGGGCTGAGCATGAGAAATTATAGCCTCAGAGTATTTATTTTTTGAGAAAATTACAAACAACTGAGAGCGCGTCGCCAGCAAGAGGAGGCGGGCGGGCTCCGCCTTTTCCCAAGAGGCCCGGCTGATTGGCCTGAGCCGGAGTGAGATCAGGCCGCATGCGCAATGCCTGGGCTACGTGACAAAAAGACGCAAATGCCTCTATCCCCAGATGACATCTTTTTGCAGATTTGCCTTTTTTTTTTTTTTGCAAAGGATCTGGAAACTCAGAGTGAGATAAAACGGAACTTCATGGCTTCAAGCGGAAAAATGAAGTTCCCGGATTTACCTCTAAAGGTAATTTGGCTTTTTGCTCTTAGGAGGCTGGTGGCTGGGGGTGGTGGCCCAGTGTCTGCAGCCCAAGAAGAGAGTGGCACACCTACACAGTGGCATGGGATGGGGGAGGGGGCCATATAAGTGAATTTCATTTTCAGAGGTCTTAGAATATGAGTTTAGGTAATCACAGGCCTGCTTAAATGGAATTATTTTAGGAGGGCCCTCACAGAAAACGAATAGCTTAAAATAACGCCTAACAGAGCTAATGTTGTGAGTAAGGCACACACAGCTGGGCTAGGCTAGGTGGTTTTCCTGTAGTCTCCCAGTTAACAGAGCTTTGAGGCTATAAGCCAGGACTTCCAACTGCTAGCACAGGGCTCCGTTCTCACTATTCCAAACATTGCCTCCGAGCAAATTGTTTCGGAGGCCATATTATTCAAACTGCTTGCACAACTAATTTTGCAATGTTTCTGAATTTACTTTCTTATGCATGAAAAAATGCTACCAGAATCATTATCTGCAATAATAATTTCCCCCGTGGTCCTTTTCATCTGTTTATCATTTGAAACCTAATCAAAAGATCTTGATTGCAACACACAAAACCCTCCCAGGTGCTTCCCAGCGCAATGCTGCCCCGTAGAACTGTGGCCGTGATGGCAATGTGCGTATCGCCCATGACAATAGACTCTAACCAGTTACATGAAGCTCATGAAGACTGGAAATATGGCTAGTGTGACTGAGGAAGTGATTTTAAAATTTTAGTTCATTGTAACTTAAATGGGCACATATGGCCAGTGTTTAGGACACTGGGCAGTTCTAGATGATATTGACAGAAATCTGCCCAGAACCACCCTGAATCAAACAGGGAAGTATGAGCTGTGTTTGAATCCAGCCGCTCAATCGATTCCTACCTTGGTTTTCCCAAATTACCGTATATACTCCAGTATAAGTCTACCTGCAATTTATATTCAAGTATAAATTGTCATATATATATGTGTATATATATGTATAAATACAGTGTCATTTTTTAAAAATTATTTACACTGGGAAGAAGAAAATGTTACTATGGGTTCCTACATACAAGACTAGTTGTAGGAAATGGTGAGTCTGAGAAGATAGATTCAACTCAGAAACTTAACATCAGCTGGGAAAAAAACAAATCTCCTGTCATTTATTCCGACTCATCATGCCCTGTAGGACCCAGAAGCACTGCCCTTGTGGGTTTTGAGACGGAACTATCTACAGGATTTGAAAGTCCCACCTTTCTCCCTTGGAGTGGCTGATGGTTTCAAACTGCTGACCTCAGAAGCCCAAACCATAATGCACTATGCCCCAAACCCAAACCCAACCCACTGCCATGGGGTCGATGTCAACTCGTAGGGCAGGGTTGAACTGGGTTTCTGAGACTGTAACTGGTTACGGCAAAAGAAGACCTCATGTTTCTCTCCAGTGCCTGGTGGTTTTGAACTGCTGACCTTGATGGGGAGCAGCCCATCATGTAATCATTACACCACTGGGGCTCCTAGGCTTCTCAAAATCAGCTAGTATTGTACAAGTATACAAAAGCAGCTCTCGCTTCCCAGCCTCCTCTTCAGTCAGCTGAGGGCCACGTGACCAGTGCTGGCCAGTGAGACGTGACGTGTTGTGTGTCCATGACTGGGTCAAGGCAGTCGGACTCAGGCAGCCTCTTTCACCTCTCCCTTCTGCACTCGTGGTGGCCTGGAGGGCACATGTCTCAGAAGGCAGAGCAAAAATATGTTCAATCTATGACAGAAAAAGAAACCACTGAGATTTGGGAATTGCTCCCAGATAACAACTTCAGCATTCCTTAGTCCAGTATATACCTTCAGTCTGTTCACCATTGGGTCACACATGGGAGGTGGCTAAAAAAAGAGAGGAGGGAGGAGACCATTTCCCATTCAGGTCCTCAGGAAAGGTTTCCAGGTAGAAGGTTTGAACTTGAGCATTTTGGGACATGTATGAGGAGGGAAGCTCTTTGAGGTAGGTGAGCACAGACCAGGTGAGGAAGGGGGTATGGTGTTGTGGATTGAGTCGTGTCCCCCAAAATATAGCTTGTAAATCCTATTAGACCTATGGTTATGATCTCATTTTAAAATTGGGTTTTTTGATGTTAATGAGGCACTCTTCGTGTACAGTGTTTTTAATCAATCCCTTTTGAGATATAAAGGAACAGATTAACAAGCAGCAAGCAAGTAACCACGGAGAAGATCCTAAACCCCAGGAAGCTCACCAGAGAGTCAAAGAACAGAAGCTATCAAAAACAACAAGGATCCTTCCTCTGGAGCTGAGAGGAAGGCCTGGAGCCAGAGCCCTTCAATCAGCATGCCAGCCTCGTCCGTTGTGAGAAAGGTGCCCTGGTGGCACCGTGGATCAGGCACTGGGACGCTAACCACAAGGTCACAGTTTGAAACCACTAGCCAATCCACAGGCAAAGGATGAGGCTTTCTGCTCCCCTAAAGAGCTAGCATCTTGGACACCCATCTTGTCCTGCAGGGTGACTATGAGTCAGAAGTGATTCGATGGCAGTAAGTTTGGTTTGGAAACCTTTGAGAAAATGTCTTTGTTCAAGCCATCATCTGATATTTTTGTTATAGCAGCGCTGTGCAACTAAGACACACAGGCAATAAACACATCTAACCACTGGCACGAAAGCTTCAACAGAGGTCTCCCCACCTTTCTTGGGCATCATCCATCAGACATGAAAAATCTATTTATAAATACCAAACAAAAACAAACAAACAAACAAATCCACACT